ATGTCATCATCAAAAAAAAGACTTGTGTTTCCTATTGGAGGGTTTATTTTTTTGAAAATATGGAGGAAAATCGAAACGACCACTAGCTCACTGAACAGATGGTTTTCACTCTATCTAAATCCAAAGTGCTATTTCAGCTGTATCGACTGGAACAAAGCCGATACTGTTTAAATCAAGTGAAAAAATGTTAGATTTAGTTCCCAGGGTGGGGGGACGTTTGCTTTGAGTTTTTGGTGGGGGTGACTTTAGTGACACTCAATTGAAATCTTGTCACTACACTGAAAAAATATTAAAAAAAAGAAGAATTTATTTAAACGACATTAAACGTCATTTGCATCAATTTAATGGGGAGGCTTGTTTTATTGAATGTATTTATTTATTAATTTAATTAATTAATTGTAAGAAAACTGCAAAACACTGCAATTGTCTTTTTTTGTTTACATTTGACTAACTGTATATTTATCGATATTACAATTAATCTAATCAATAGTTTGTCATTGATTTATAGTTTACTGTGAATCCAAGATGATCCTCAATGTGTCTGTAATTAAGAGTTAAAGGGTTTTATTTAGTGAAGTGAGAGGCAGTGAAAAAAAAAAAAGGCAGCTCCTTCTCTCAAAACAAAACACAACTGTTGACATGAGTGAGTTAAATGAAATTGGAGCTGCAATTATCAGCTTAACAGAGTTTCCTGTCATGTTGGAAAATTAGACCTGGTACAAGTGCACTGGGGTTAGCGACCCCCCCTCATGCCTCCACCCCCCCATCAAAATCATTTACGCATTTCCTCAGAGGACCACCTCCACAAATATGCAATTACGGCCTCGGCTTTTACAGTGCTCTGCTCGGTGAACACGGCCCGGGAATATAGATGAGGACATTTATTTAAGGGAAATTATTGTAATCAGTATTAGTATTGTTATTTGGCTGCGGGGCAGGAGTATGTAAACAAAGCAGGCGGGCAGACAAACACATAAACAAACAAAAGGAAGGATTTAAACATGACGTGCAGCGGCCATGTGAGCCTGCTGGCAGGGAGGGGGCGCCATGGCGATGCGATCATGTCAAAATGTGACTCCTGATGGAGGAGATGTTATTAGTGTTTTTGCAAATAAAGTTTTAGCTTTAAGGGTAGTTAAAGGGCAGGTGTGTGTGTGTGTGTGTGTGTGTGTGTGTGTGTGTGTGTGTGTGTGTGTGTCCATGGTCTTCACTGGTCATGTCAGGCCTCATCTGCTCTACTCCTGTTACAAAGTGGTGTTTTTCTCTTTGGGAAATACCGTTTGACCACTGTGGTGTGGCCATGATGCTGCCTCCCAGCTGCTGCCACTGTGTGTGTGTGTGTGTGTGTGTGTGTGTGTGTGTGTGTGTGTGTGCGCACGCGCACACACACACACACACACACACACACACACACTTAGAAACACAAACACATGCACACTTAAAACTGTCCTCATGACTTATGTTTTTTCTGTCCTTGTAGTCCAGAACAAACTGGTGAATCATGCTGGTTGCATCTTCCCCTTACCACACTGGATGATGGAGCAGACATGTGCACATACCTTCTACTCTGCCAAGCAACAAATAAAGAGGTAAAAAAAAAAACTGTACAAGGATCGAGGACGTTTATTTCCCATCCACAGTCCATAAACACCACCTACTTCCCACAGCCTGGTTAGAGCCAATAGTAGACTTTGTTTCTGGACAGGGAACTACTTGGCCAGTAGTGGTGGGTCTGTACGAGCAGGCTGGTACCCACTGACCCTTGCCCTCTCATTAGTGGGACGTGGAGCAGTGGAGTACCGTTCTCCCCAGGTCATGTTACATATGGCTTGCAGTCTGCTGCGCAGCATTAAATGTCAGCTTTGAAACCATCTGAAAGATCAGAGGTCAGTGTTTTTAATAAGGCCAGAGTTCTGGGGGAGTTCCCTCTTTTTTTTTTCTTTTTTTTTACTGCGCACCCAAGTATGTTTTATGTTGCATGTTTGAAATTGTGGACAGAAATGATCCCCCACTTAGATATGGGGATGTCCCGATTTTCACACATAAAGAGAGCTGTAAAATGTAAAAATTCAGCAACTAACTGTGTCGAGTCCCCATGAAAAATGCACCACACATCTTCTGTGAGGCCACAATAATGCTGCTTTCCCTGTCTAATTTATAGGCACAATACAAAGGTGGAATTTGGAGTTTTCTGTGGCCCCCTCCCCGTGAGACCCACAGACCTTGGGCTCCTGCTGCGAATGGGATATTGTTCTGCGCTCCAACAAAGCTGTTTTCACCCTCTTCAATATTACAGGAGGAGTTACCTGATACCTAACAATCAGCTAATCCACTGCCCATGGCGACGAGGTCACCTGTGCACAGGTAACTTTATCCCGGCAGCCTGTCTCTCCCTCCCTTTCCCGCTAGTCTCTCCCATTTTTTCTTCTCCCTCTCTCTGTGCCTCAACAGTGAGCACAGACAAACAGCCTCTGTTTATTTAGGTCATCAGTTAGATCATATATAACTCCTCCAGCCAGGATCCGCTGAGAGGACAACTCCTATAATTCACCGCAGACACTCTGTGAATAAAATAAAATCCCCCGCTGTTCGTCCATTTGTCAAACTTTGCCTCCATCTTATCTCTCTGCGCTGGTTTGGTCGGGTGCCCACTGAGTGAACGAGCCTTGGGTGGAAATTCATGAATTGACAGAGAATCCCCTCAAGCCGTGAGAGGAGTTCAGGCTCTTTTCTGGATAGAGACTCAGTGTCTGTGAGTGACAGCGCCTCAGATTCATTCTTCCACATGTTAAAGCTGGGGGGGTTGTTCGGCCTTCGCTCAGGGAAAAAAAACCATTGGATTGGACTGAGCTGTGGGGAGCTGCAGACCCCCCACCCAAAAAGAGCTTTACCTCTGGAAATCTCGTTGCTGTTTATTTGAATTACAGGGGCTGAGATGAGAAAAGGAGGGCTAATGAACTCCAGGTTGCAAGGCATGTGCAAACGATCACTGCAGGTTTGCAGAGAGCAGCGCCCGGCTTGCTGGATTACTGCATGCCACCCCCCACCCCCACCCCCCATCCTCACAGTTTGCCTACATAGGCATGTGCTTTTTGTCTGTAATTTACATGTTATATCCCTAAAATCTCAAAAACCCTCAGAGATCAGTCCTTAATTTCCTCAGTCATCTTGAAACTAAATGTGTTAGAAAGGATTAAAAATGTCTGTTTTATGTTTTTATAAATATAAACTTTTATTGCAGTATGGAGATTTAGAAAAATACATTCACATAATTTCAGATAACAAATATATCATTCAAACTAAGATTAAAAAAAAAACAAAAAACAAACAAAACAAAAAACAAAATAAATGACCATCAGTTTACTATTTGCCCACGATTCATTTTTGGTATTTTTACATTAAAGCACTGAGGATACTTTCACTGAAATGTCCATTCAAATTGATGGGATCATGTCATAAATCCTGACAAATTAAAGTGTTACCAGTCCTCTAGTATGAAGACATGTGATGCACTGATACATGTGCGTGGTCTGACTTGGCTGTGAGGCTGAAATGTGCTATTATGGTCATGTATGACAGCGAGGAATTCGGCTCCTGTTGTGAAACGCACCGGACACACTTGACAAATGGGCTCTACATTCTCTCTTTTCTTTCCCTCATCTGACACCCAACAAGTGTTCCAGAGACGGCGGCGGCGGACGGCGGTGGTAAATCTCTGAAGCTTCTGCCTGCACACCAAACGCAACAGCTACAACTGATTATTCACAAAAAGAAAAAAAAAAGTAAAAGGCACTAGTGTCCAAAACATTATGACGCCATGCAAAGAGAAATTATTACAATCCCTCTCCGGTTTAAAGGTGGGACTATAAAAACAATAAAACAGATTTGTCCTCTTATTCACTTCTAACTCCTGTCCCTTTGTTCCTTATACGTTTTCAAAAAGCATACACACTGTAGATGTTTGCATCTGGCTTTATAGAAAAATATCATTCATGATTACTGACATTTGGAGAGACACATCAAAATGAAACACGATATACTATAGCATCATCACATCTAGATAACATACTATGAGTTGCAGCGTTATAAACAACATGATGGACGACATGTGAACCGACAGCGTGACCCTTCGATCATCGCTCGTATCTTGGTCTCACAGGTTGATGATGAGGCTCGACACAGGAGTCATTGCTGAAATAGTGCGCGTTTGTTGTTGGTGTTGCACACGACACACCCTCCGACGTGAGGGCTGCTTGAAACGTGTACATTGTGATGTCATCGTGGTTAGTGCAAATGCCAAAAACAGACCAATGCCATTGTGTATTTTTAAGTAGCAGAAAGGCACATTCGTCTTTAACTCTAGTCCCATACTCAACACTCCGAGTTCATTTGGTGTGATATAACGCACAAAATCAGGGTTTTTGCAGTGACTTGAGAGGCAATCAGAGAATTTAAGTTGCTTACTGAAGGACACTTTTTCTGTCTTTCCTGCGTCTTAACAACCTATTATTCTCTGTGTGTGTGTGCAGTCCTTCAGTCAAGCTGTCGCTGTTTAACTGATCATTTTCACAGAGGCTCTCTCCCTCTTCCCCCCTACCGAATGACCTTTTTGGTTTGAGCCAGATGACGCATTTAGTTTGGAGGAACATCCTGGTCACATGACTCGAGGCATTCCAGCACCTGCTTCTGCAGATCAAATCCACTCAACAGGAAGTAGCAGGTGTTGTCTATAAAAATGCACATTTAAATCATGGCTCAAACACATACAGCGACTTCTTCTGTTTGCACCAAACAGTCGTAATGTTTCATCTTAAGAACGGGGCTTTTAAAAACATGTCATAGTTTTTTTTTTGATTTTTAAAAAAAAATCTTTATGATAAACTGATAATGCCCACCCACAGGGCTCCCGTCTGACTAGAGTGCATTGTAAAAAGTCAAATGAACACAAATAATTTAACATTTAAAGGAAATGAATGGTAAAAAAAAAACACACACACACACACACACACACACACGCTCACACAAAGGTAAAGATTCACCATATCACTGCTTGGGAGGACACGAGTGCTTCTGCGAGGAGACTGGTTTAAGGTTAAAGGTCAGCCATGTCCTCATCCATCTGCACTGTCTGTAGTTTGGCTAGCTCCTTCCCCTCCACGGCCTCCATCTCCCCACACATCGCCCGCACCATCTCATTCACACCTCCTGAGCCGTCCACCTTGTTCTCTGAAAGGTTCATGTAGTCGCTGTTCATGCCAGAGCCCATCAGGTGCGAGGGCGGAGGCCCCCGGACCTCGTGGCTCCCAAGATACTCTGTGGACTGGAGGTGGTGGTTGCTCGGGTCCGTTTGGGCCATCAGGGGCGTGCTGACGGTCAGGGTGGTGTAGACCTCCGGCTCAGGGCTGGAAGAGGTAACGGCGGGGACCTCGGTGGTCGAGGCGGGACCTTGGCTAGATGGAGCGTCTTCTGAGTTGGGGGTGGTGTAGCTGATCTGACCACTGGGGTCCAGGTGAAGACCGTGGTGGTACGAAGAGTAGACACCGCCCTCCAGAGGCTCCTTCTTGATGGATGGCTGGCCGGCGTTGCTCATGCTGTAGAGGACTGTGCTGTGGTGCAGAGACGTCATGGTCAGCTTGTCCTGCTGCTGGAACGAGTCGTCGTTGGAGGAACTCACTGCTACATTGTTCAGAGGCATGGTACCTGTGGTTATACAATGACAAATCAATACATGCAGTATCTCTACCTCCAGTATAGATCCCCTTCTCATTCCTCACAGTACCATATATTTCATTAAGAGCAGGCCTTGGCCCCAAAATTGCTGTTGTATGTCTCACACACTTGGTGCTCTTTAAGCTTGACCCCACAGTGCCCCGGAGAACAAATGCAGGAGCCTGCCAGAACTCAACAGCAAGCTGCAATTTTCTGTTTTTGCTTATAATTCATCCTGGTGTAGATTCTCTGCTTTCTGTCAAAGTAAGTGCTGTTGTGGTTTATTCCCTGTTAGTGCGTTTCGTGGCCTCTGATTGTCTGAAACGTATTTCTCCGCCTCCCTGCTCTGCAGATCAAGAGCGCAATGATGATGAGTGATGGTGACTTCAGAACTTGTTTTTATCCATCTCTGGGGTTTTCAAAGGACCACCTCTTGTGTGTGTGCGTGTGTGTGTGTGTGTGTGTGTGTGTGTGTGTGTGTGTGTGTGAGTGTGGGGCCCTTCCCTGTTTCTTCTGCTCTGTGTTATGTGTAGTATCAGCCCTTTGGGCTACGGCCCAAACGCAGACAAGCCAAGAATAAAGCTGCTTGGATATATTGGGTGGACGTAGTAGGGATCTGTTGACAAACTACCAGGGACGTGCAGCATTGCACTGGAACATTTAAGGAGGGTAAAGAGCACCACTGACCTGCTATGAAGCCGGGAGACATAAGGATACCACATCTATTTTGTGACATAAGATCCTAATACTATGGCAGATCTTATTTCTGTCTTTTCTTGGTCTTAAAGGCTGCAATAATCTAACAGCATTACTTTAGAGCACCTGACAGATTAATGAGTAAGTGAATGCCCTTTAAATGTATCAGCATCATATCCCCTTTATTAGTCAATATCGTCCCCTCCTTATTCAGAATTAAAGCATGATTAGTCATTAGTCTCTGGGTCAAAAATACTGTAATATTTGATTGTGTCATTGTTGCTCATCTTTACTTCACTATGTTGTAATACTCTTTCTCAAATAAACGTTACAGTAAAAGTTATTCTAAGTAAAGTAGTATGTAAGCTGAATAACAAATCACTTCCTGTACCCACCTTGTTGTGGGATTGTTGAGGCAGAGGAGGCAGAGGAGAGCTGCAGGGGAGGAAGACCTACGTCGCTGTTGAGTAATGAGCTGCCATCGCTGTCAGAGACTCCACTCGGTACCTGGACCAGACTGTAGCCACCCAGCTGCAGCGCACCTGACGAGGAGCTGAACGTCAGCACAGAGGAGCCCCCGTTCTGGGCGGCCATGGTGTGAAGCCCCTCCAGCTTCACCTCGGCTCCGTTCACACAGCCAGAGTAGGACGCGTACTGCAGGCTGGAGTCCTCAGCAGAACTGCCCAGTCCCTTCTCCTGCCCTGTCTGCATCTGCATGTCCACTCCAGAGCCCCCCAGCAATACCCCTCCAGACGGCCTCAGAGGGTTGAAGGCCAAGGGCTGGATGCCCAAATTGAGCCCGTTGAAGAGGATGTTTCCAGGTGTGTGGAGGTAAGACGAGCCACCATTGTGAAACACGGTGGAAGAGGTGTTACTGGTCACTAGGCTTCCGTTGTAGAGACCGCCACTTGTGGATCCAGGGGGCATCTTGATGTCCCCGATCTGTTGGATGACCACCCCACTGTCCAGAGGTCCTGTTTGAATCCCATGGGTGATCACCCCATCTGAGGAGTTAGAGAGGGGCCGGGGTGACAACTCCTCCTGGCCTTTACTAGACTCGTCCTCTGTGCTGTGGTTTCCATCAGATTCACTGTGAAAAAAACAAGCAGAAAAAGATGACAAATGGTGTGTCACAAAACAAGGAAAAGAAATCATCATTGGTGGTTAATTATAGTTATAAACTGACTTTAATCCAAATGGAATAAGACTGAAAAAAGTTTAAGCCCCTGATATAGACATTAAGTGCTTCTTCCTCCCTTTGTGTAGTTTTTCGGGAAAGACGACACACTCTGCAGCACTGTTACAATTAGAGAGCATAAACCAGTATAATGGCGTTTATTTCCTTTCCACCCACATCTTGCCTATAACCCAGAGCAGGCAGTCACATTTGTTGGTGTGTTATTACACAGCTTTGAAGAGCAGGCTGTGTTTGTGAATGTGTAGCCCTGGCTTACCTCATGGAGAGAGCTGCACTCACAACAACCAACCAACATCAACAACCGTGCAACCATTTGGCGCTATAAATTCTGCTGTGACAAAATGCCAGAGCTGATGGCCTGACAGAACAAATGGCTGAAACGATTTCTTTCTGCCCCCCCCCCCACCTCCCTCCTCTCCTTCAAATGTAAAATTAAAATCTTTCTCTTTCCGTTTTCAAGAAGCCACAGTCTTAAAAATAAAACAATATGAATGTAGCTGTTAGATTGTTTTTTAACCCCCCCCCCCCATGTTAAAAGACTGATTAAAACAGCTGCACCGCCCACCCCCTCCTCCCCCGAGCACACACACTCAAACATCCAAACCCCCCACTTCCAGGAAAAGATATAAAGCAAGACACTAGTTACTGCAAGTGTGGGACGATTAAGTTTGTTGAAAATATCCACAGGTTATAAACATATTAAAACACCGTGTCGGAATAATTGTAGTCGGGATCTGAAGGCAGTGTACGATGGTTTGTGTGTGTTCGTTCGCGCTTGTGTGTGTATGTTTGTGTGTAAGAGAGACAGAGAGAGAGAGAGAGAGAGAGAGAGAAAGAGAGAGACAGAGGGGTCACCTCCACCAGGTGTGCGTCAGCTTTGTTCACAGAGAGGGAAACATGAAAGAAGATAAAATTCAGTCTCTTTATGTGGAAGAGTTTTGAGCCTGTGGGATCCTATTCGGTCAGAGAGAGAGAGAGAGGGAAAAAAAGAAATGTGATTATGAAAATGATTTATGTTGGGCTGGGGACATACGCACGCGCTAGAGTGTATGTATGTGCGTGTTTGTGCACATCTTCACACATTATTAATACACGAGATTAAAGTAACTTTTCATGTCGCCTATTGAATAGTTCCATCAAAGTTAAACTCTGTGTGTCTGACAGCCAGGGCACCGGAGTGTGTGAAGTGAAGTTACTATGACTTTTCGTTGCTTATGGTTTCCATGCCCCATAGCACCAACACACTTGAAACCGGATCTGAAAGGCAACCGCTTCATATTTCAAAACACTAAAAGCGTGCTCCAAACCCTTTTACGCACACTTTTTTCGTTTGTTAATAATAAACAGTTAACGATTCACATTGTCAGGTCTTATAAGTGAGTCCGACGGCAGATCATGAAATACACTGGCCACTGTCAGTCACTGGCTGAAGTGTGAATGGTTATAAACTAGGCGTCCGTCCATGGAAAAAGGATTTGAAATACTTTGTTAAAATTAGCCTGAGTGTGTTTTAATGCGCCTTTTACGCACAGGGAAATATTTCAATAATCTGGTTCAAATGAAGTTTAAAATGCGTCGATTGTTCCTTGTGTTGCCTCACCTTTTTGATTGTGCCTCGGACGGGTTTCTGTCTCTCTGTCTCCTGTTTTTGAACCAGTTGCTGACCTGGGTCAAGGAGAGTCCTGTAATCTTGGCGAGATTTCTTTTCTCGGCAGGAGAGGGGTACCTATTCTGATTATACAGATCCTTCAGCGCGTTTCGAGACCTCTCCTTGAAACAATACACAGTCTCCTCGCCGTCCCAGATAGTCCTGGGGAGAGGGTACTTTCTCCGGATCCGGTACTTGTCTACGGCGCCCAGGGGTCTCCCCCGCGCCTTCTCCGCCTCTGTATACCGGGCCTTGTACCACAGATCTTGCAGAAAGGTGTGGTTGGACGGACTGAAACTGTGGTTCTCCAAAATACTGTACAGCTCCTGATACCGAGCCTGGTGGAAAGCAACGAGGGCTTGGGCTTTTAGGATGCTTTCGTTGCCGCGTAGCAGGTCACTCTGTGGCAGGGACCACAGGAACCTGGCCAGCCGGTCCACATTGCCTCCCTGCTGCAAAGCCTCGCAGACACACGCCACTTGCTCCGGGGAGAAAGCCAGAGAGGAAGCGGCGCTCACCAAGAGCTCCGTGCGCACCGCGTCCGTGTTGGGAGTCGTGCGCTCCATGGACAACTCCGCCGCGTCCAGCGCCACAAACTTGATGCACTCCCGCTTATCCACCTCCTTCACATTTTCCCTCTTGATGTCATTTGCTGTTGTGACTTCTCCGGCAGAAGAAGAAGACATTTTTTTGTTCAAGCCTTCCCTGGTAAAGTCACTCCTCCCAGCTCGATCAGGTTACCTCCGCGCCATGCGAATGCGATCGGATATCTGACAGCAGCTGTAAGTAGATATCTCTCTCCCCTTTTCCTTCCAACGTGACTTTTACTCTGCGGGGACTGGAGCTGGAAGGAGACACACTGGGGTCTATCTGCAGGAGAGCCACGCTATTGGCCGCCGATGGACCCATAAGGGAGGAGCAAGCCGATTCCGACACGAATGTTTGGTTTCCAGTTGTCACTCATGTAACTTCCAGCATATTCCCGTAGCTCACCTGTGCAAGGTGAGTGCTTTTGAGATCGTGGGAACGGGGTATCCTTGTTGTCTGGCCAGAAGCGGACTTTGCTGTGGGTAGCACCCACAGCAAAACACCAGACTGCACCCTGTTTTTATTCCCTTATCGAAGTATGGAAATCCAGGGGGGTATTTAAAATATTTCTTCTCAATATTTCTGAAATGATTTTGACACAGAAAACCTTGAATAAAACTTGAGACTAAGACTGAATTACTTGCATTTTAAATGCCAGTACCATCTGGTACTCATCATCTGTATTTTTAAAGACTTTTCTGTTTTGATTATTAGTACTGCCATACATGCGCAAATCTGTAAGTCACAAGCTATACACACTGAATCAGGTCACAATAAGCACATTATGATCCCAACAAGCAGTGTCAGATCAAAACCAATACACAAACATAAAATATTTAGTAACAACCACAGAAACAAATATCTCCATATGAATACAGATTTTCAGACCATCTCATAAATATGTGTGGTGGGATATTACTGTTTTCCCTGGAGCTCAAAGAGTATTATTTTCACCATTCACTCATACCATCAAAGCCAACCAACAGTCTAACATTAATATAAGATGATATAATATTAGTAATATTAATAAGGATGGCTGGTATCAAATGTCGCTTACTAGCCCATAAAAACGTATGTTTGTGTTGTATCACTTGCACCTGGTGACATTCATGGTTTTTTCAAAAAAATTGAAAAAAAGAAGATAGTTTGTTAATTTTGCAAATAGTTTAAATCTAATGCAACAATGGAGTCTAACATTATCTTAACAGTTATTGACAGTCATACATTGTCCATAAATCAATTTATCACATATCCCTTTTAGTAATCGTGATGAAATATAGCCTACAATAGCACATCTGCTTTCTAAGTTATAGCCTTTGAAAATATTGTATTTGAAATTAAACAATTCAACCAACTTACTATTTTGTCACTATAATATCACGATAGACAATTACTGTCTTCATCATACATAGGATCATAAATCATATAATATATCCATCATCCTTGGTGAATAATTTCCCTCAAACAGTTATACATTAAAGCAGAAACTCTGTGATGTCAGATGCCTTGGGGAACAACATCTGGGTATAGTTTTGGTTTTAATTATGTTTCAGTTCAGACTTACATTAGATCATGGAATATATGGGAGTCCTGTATGGGGAAGTGCACAGAGGAGACAGTGAAACCTATAATGAAAGCAACCATTATAAACATTCTCTCTAAATACAACCTAGTGAAAATAAACAACTCAGCTTTTTCTCCCTTTTATTTTTCTTTTTTTTTTACCTCAGAACCCCTGGGACTCCTCAGGGACCCCCTGTGTGTGCCTGCACCACAGTGTGACCACCATTGCTGTAGAGGTCATCATTAAGTAGGAACTACTCTTATTAGTGCGCTTTCCCGTCGGACCACATTGCGTGTGACGCAGCGGTTCGCCTCTTGTGAAGTGACAGGAGAGCTGCTGGGTGTTGACATTTATTTTCTGAAGCTTGTCATTTTGTGTTGCTCACACAGAAATGGACGACCAGGGGTGTCCGAGATGCAAAACAACCAAATACAGGAATCCCTCGCTGAAGCTGATGGTGAACGTCTGCGGCCACACGCTGTGAGTATTTACATCCGACAGCTAAAGAAAGCAAGAGTGAAGCAAATTTCCACACAACACGACGTTTTTTGTTTCAAAATGTGCAAAAAAAGACACCTACCAACACAAGAAACCCCTATAGCTTGCGGTTAACTGTTATTTTAAGCTTTTTATCTTTTCTCAAGTCTTAATGTTCGGACGTTAAAGAGGTTGAAACACGTTCATGCTTCTTGAGCTTTTAGCTAACAGCTAACGGTTTGTTGTGCTCAGTGATGTGTCAAATATGAACGGCATACGCATGTAGATAATATAAAATGATTACTATGCCTAGACTTCGGAAAGATACTGCAGCTTTAACAGTCGAGTGGCACAGTGTAGAGGTGGGTCTATCCTCTGTCACATCTTTGACAGTGCTGCTTGACAGCTGTCAAACCTGACAGACACTGGCTCCACAATCGTCGTTGTTTGGACCTGACCCGCACTGTCTATGCGTAGCCCTCTTTTCAAATCGGTGTTTTCACTAGACCACTGAAATGTATAGTTCTAGGACATATGAATTTTTGTGGAAAGCATAAAGAGTTCAGGATGGCATTGAGAAGAGTGACTGGTGAATGAGAGTATAAACTTTGTGTTTTTGCAGTGTGTGCTGCACTTTTAACTCCATAAGGAGTACAAATTATCCAGAGGTGTTAAGAAGGGCCATCTTGAATGTACAAATAAAATATAACCTACATTAAGGTTGCACTACATATTTACAGTGCGGTTAATTCATCTCTTTGTGCTTAACATTCTCTGTAAACTGGATCTTATGGATCCTACTGTAGATACAAGCAAGAGACAGAAATCCCGCTCAGACCATACCCTAACCTCACCCTAACCATTAAAACAATGCATCCTGAAAGTAACCCTTTTCACGTTTTTACCTGAACTTAACCATCTCAAGGCTAATTCCTGAACATAGACCTATTTAACTTACTAAACCGCTGTGGAAGGTCTGGTTTGGTGGGTCAGTAATTTTGTATAAAATATGCTCATCACAAGTCACGAGAAAATTAATTAAAAATTTGATTTACTATGACATAAAACAAAGAAATGTAAGCAATGCTGAATCTGTAACCAATAGTTAATCAGTTATCACAAGTGAAATAATTTTATTCTAATTGACTTAATTACTTAATAAACGAATAGTTCTGGCACTAGTTCATACTAATCCTATGTATTGTTTCCCTGCAGTTTTGATTGTGCATTACTGTTATGTCAGTAGTGGGTAAAACTTGTCTGCTCCAGCATTTTCCAATGTTTAACCTTGTCATCTGTTTAAAAACCTGGTCATTTAAATGAAGGGTGCATGTTCTCTATGAGCGTCATGCAGTGACAGTGGTAGCCTGATGAGAGCATTTTTTTCGACCCTGTCTGTTTATTGACCGAACCATCAGGAAGCGGCTGTGCTTTGTCATCAGGTCAGCGAGCTCATAACTCACCGCCTCTGTCTGGATGCAGGGCTACATGCAGAAAATTAAAATGATTCTGCAATGAAGCAATTTGGAGAAATGTCCTAGCTCAGGTCACCTTGGATTTGTTCCTCGGAGCCGGTGCGACAGTGAATTTATGCACCATTTGTAAACTGCTGTACTCTCAAACTGTATTAGTATTTTCATCACTGATGTCATTTGTCTTTTTGTTTGCAGCTAGGCTTACTGAAGAGTTGTTAAATATAGAAGCCTGTACTGTAGCTTGAGCAATGTGTTTCAGTTTCGCAGTGAACAACTCTATGAACAAAACAGTGAGCGAGAAAGAAAGAGTCAATATGGAAAAAATAAAGAAATCAGAAAAGAAAATGCAAATATGCACATTAACACTGAGTATGGAAACTTAATTACACATAAACAGTTATATGTTTACATCAGTCTATATCCTATAAGTCCAAAACCTGAGTGTAACTTGGAGTGAAGTGCCTCCCTTTACAAATGCACAGACAGGCAGAAAAGTCACATTGTGAAATGATACTACAACTAAGGAAATAGTAGCTGTGTTGGGAATGCAATGGACAGCCAATAGAACAAATTAGCTGTATTAAATGATGGTAAAATAGTGAATAAGTATAGGTGTAGCCTTTAGAATGAGACAGTTGTGATAACTAATTAATCATTAGGTCATAATCATTGTATTCAGCTTTTTTCTGCTTTTTTGACTCACAGTAATTGTGTTTTGGATATCTTTGAGTATTGGACTGTTGGTTTGTCTGAAAGTTTTTTTTTTTATTTTTTTTTTAATGGAATTTATTGAAAATATTATCAGTAGATAATTCAAGGTCGTAATCATTAGCTGCAGCCCTTGTTTGAATTCACTGGTTCATTCATTTAAAAAAAGGGTTTGTCTCTCTGCATTGGCCCAGCTGAGTGGCCATTCCAGTCTTGGTTGATCAGGCTTCCTGCCTCAGCGATGCAATGCAGTATTGAGCTTCTCCACCTCTAGCATGCATCTAAATATAAACCCCAACACAGCACATTTTGTATCCCTGTCAGCAGGGATGTTTGATGTGTGTTATTTATTACCTTTGCACAATGACACCAGGCCCATGTCTCTTTGGCATTTGACACTGGGTGCACAGGCAGGCACAAACAATGTAGTGGGTTGGACCTGTTGGGGTTTACAGGATGGTGGACACACCTCATTAAGTAGAAACTAGTTTCCTGTACCTGATGATTGTATGTTCTTGGTTGATAAACAGTAGTAAAGTGGGATTTTTTTCTGGTGTAATCAGAAATAAAAGCTCTGTTTGTTTTTCTCCAAAGATACTTTCAAGACTTGGATGGGCATCAAATACTCTCAGATGAGTAATGAGCACAGAAGGCTGCCTCCTTAAAAACATTAACTAAAGGAATTAACTGAGGGTTAGATGTGAAATTTGGTACAGTCATGAGATGATTAGCTTAGCTTAGCAGGGTTAGCAGAGGGAGACAGCTTGCCTGGTTTTGTCCAAAGATCAAAAATCCCTCTACCAGCACCTATAAACCCCTGTAAAACCACAACTTGTCATTTCTCCAATTCATTTTCTATGTGGACTAAACAAAC